GTAAAATATATATATATATCTTCATACTCTCTGAAGTATTTCTTTAGAGTAGATTAAATTTATGGTTTTAAAAAATAAATATGTTCGAACAAGGGCTACTGTACAAATATAGAAACAGTGACACTCCAGCCAGCAACTAGATCTTGGTTCCTAATTTTTTTTCTCATTTAAAGAAGCCAGAACAACTTCAGGAAACAAGAAAATTATCAAATAAACAATCTAAATTTACACTTAAAGGAATGGAAAAAACAACAACGACATCCACAGTGAGTAGAAGAAAGGAAATAATAAAGATCAAAGCAGAAATAAATGAAATGCAGTCTAAAAATACAATACAAAAGATCAATGAAACCAAGAGCTGGTTCTTTGAAAAGATAACCAAGATTGACAAACCTTTAACCAGAGTCACTAAGAACAAAAGAGAGAGGACCCAAATAAATGAAATCAGAAATGAAAGAGGAGAAGTAACATCTGACACTAACTATAAAGAAATACAAAAGATTGTAAGAAAATATTACAACAGAACAATTATTTGCCAACAAATTGGACAATCTGGAAGAAATGAATAAATTCCTAGAACCGTACAGTTTTCCAAAACTGGTTCAGGACAAATCAGAGAATCTGAATAAACAGATTAAAACTAGTTAGATTGAAGCAGTAATAACAAAACTCTCAACAAAGAAAAGTACTGGACTGAATGACTTCACAGGTCACTTTTATTAAACATTCAATGAAGAACATAGCACCTATCCTCAAAGTATTCCAAACAATTCAAGAGGAGAGGGAACTCCCAAGCTCATTTTACGAGGCCAGCATTATCCTAATTCCAAAACCAGGTAAAGATGCTACAAAGAAAGAAAATAATAGGCCAATATCCCTGAGCACAGATGTTAAAATCCTCAACAAAATATTAGCAAACCAGATTTTGAAATACATTAAAAAGATCATACACCATGACCAAGAGGGATTTATTCTGGGGATGCAGATTGGTACAATATCTACAAATCAATAAATGTGATACACCACATAAACAAAATGAAGGATAAAAACCACATGATCATATCAATAGATGCAGAAAAAGCATTTGACAAAATCCAGCACTAATCTATATATATAAAAGGCTAACTGATCATCCGGCCAGCCCGTACATATGATGTGCACTGACCACCAGCGGGCAGATGCTCAACACAGGAGCTGCCAAGGTTCTCAGGTGATGCACCCTGGAACAAGAGAAGAGGGAGCCCGATTCCTCACAGGGCCATGCGATTCCACCTTCAGCCATGGGTTATGCTGTTGCTGGGGCACTGTTGGCCTGAATCTGGTTTACTGCTGAGCTGCAGTGACTTGGCAATGGTGGTTTTTGGGTGACTCACCCCAGAACCAGCGAGGAGGGAGCCTGATTCCTTGCGGAGCCGTGCGATTCCACCTTCGGCTGTTTTTATATCATGTCTTTGTTGTTGTTATATTGTTATTGTTTATTAATAAATTTATATATTATTTTCATGTACATTTTACTAATTTTCTTTCATCTCTGACACTTCTATTATAGAGAAAGGGTGAATAGCAATATTAAAATATTCTAATTAATTTCCTTTCAATGTGCACGAATCTATGCACCGGGCCACTAGTTTATGATAAAATCTCTCAGCAAAGTGGGAATAGAGGGAACATACCTCAACATAATAAAGGCCATATGTGAAAACCCTACAGCAAACATCATAATTAATGGGCAGAAATTAAAAGCATTACCCTTAAGATCAGAAATAAGACGGCAATGTCTGCTTTCACTACTTTCATTCAACATAATACTGGAAGTACTAGCCACAGCAATCAGACAAGAAGAAGAAATAAAAGGCATACAAATTGGAAAGGAGGGCATAAATGCTTTTATTCACAGATGACATGATATTACACATAGAAAACCCCAAAGACTCCACCCAAAAGCTACTAGATCTAATAAATTCAGCAAAGTAGCATAATTATCCCTTTCAGGTGAATCCTGTATTCAGGTGAATACAGAATTAACATTCAGAAATTCAATGGCATTTCTATACACCAATAATTAACTATCAGAAAGAGAAACTAAACAAACCCATTTACTATTGCAACAAAATTAATAAGGTACCTAAGAATAAATTTTACCAAGGAGGTTAAAAACTTGTACTCCAAAAAACTATAGGACTTTGAAGAACGAAATTGAGGAAGATAGAAATAAGTGGAAGCATATACTGTATTAATGGATTGGAAGAATTAACATAATTAAAATCTCCACACTACCCAAAGTAATCTATAGGTTCAATGCAATTCCATTAAAATACCTACGGTATATTTCATAGATCTACAAATATTCCAAAAATTTATATGAAACCAAGAAAGATCCAAATAGCCTCAGCAATCTTGAGAGAGGAACAAAGTTGGAAGGATCACAATAACTGATATTAAACTATACTATAAAGCCATTGTAATCAAAATAGCCTGGTACTGGCATAAGAACAGAAAAATAGATAAATGGAACAGAACAGAAAGCCCAGAAATCAACCCATGCCATATGGTCAGTTAATATTTGACAGAGGAGGCAAGAGCAAACAATGTGTTAAAGACAGTCTCTTTAATAAATGGTGTTGGGAAAATTGGACATAAAAAAATGAAATTAGACCACCAGCTTATACCATGCACAAGAATAAACTTAAAATGGATAAAAGACTTACATATAAGCTGGGAAACCATAAAAATTTGAGAAGAAAACACAGGCAGTAAAATATCAGATATCTCTTGCAGCAATATATTTTTAAGTATTTTTATTTTTTACATGCAAAATACAATATTTCAAGAAAACTGATTTTAAATATAATAGTTATATGCAATAAACATTAACATTTCAAGAAATACGATTTTAAATATAATAATATTACCAAAACTATACTAACATAGTATAATATCACAAAAGTTGTAGGAAATATTAAAAATCTGCAAATAGGATTACTTCTATTATATTCTAAAATATTTTCCCCTAAATATAAAATGTAAAATAAATGATGTGATTATTTTAAAAACACCATTTTAAATTACTAATGTAAATTGATCTAGGTAAGGATAATCAATGAATGCTAACAGCCATGGAATGAAAAATTCTTGGCCAAGATATTCACACAGTCACCAACTACATCCCACAGATTACTTATTAATTACAACGGGAAAAGGGTTTTTTAAAAAAATAAATTTCTTTTCCAATTAGGAATAGATATTATAGAAAAATTATTTTTGTAGATCTACTGTACTCTTTGTTTTGGTTAATCCTCACTGGAGGGTAATTTTTCCCCATTGATTTTAGAGAGAGTGGAAAGAAGGGGTTAGAGGAGAGAGAGAGAAACATCAATATGAGGGAGACACATCAATTGGTTTCCTCTTGCATGTGCCCCAATTGGGGCAGGGAGCCTACAACCCAGGAACATGCCCTTGACTGGATTCAAACCTGCCACCTTTGGGTTCTCAGGCTGATGCTCTAACCTCTGTGCAACACCATCCAGGGCTGTACCCTTTTTTTTTTAAATAGGATTCACCTGAAAGGGATAATTATGCTAGAATGTGAGCTGGGAATTATAGCAAAATAATATAATAATAATAATAATAATAATAATACAAGAAGAAGTACAGAACACTTCTTTTTGTACTGTGAATTTGGATTGTAGGTTCAGCAATGAGATAATTTCTGTCTTCCTATGTTGTTTTATTAGTGTTCAGGGAATGCAATAGTTAAAACTATTATGTAAACTTGGTTTCTAGTGTTCACAGTTCTGAGGTCACTAGAACCATTAACTGAAATATGGAATGCATAAAATTAGGCAGTAGTAGGTAAGGCTGTTTTTTGACAAGTTGATTTTGACGTGTTAGTAAAAAAAATGAAGATGACCTCAGGCGGTTATAAATTCAGCTCTATTGTGATGATCCTCTCTCAAAAGAGTTTAAGGCCGGAAGTATAAATTTGGGAATCATCAGCATGGAGGTCCTGTCTGAAGACACCGTAGTAAATTATGTTGAGAGACATAGAGTGAGGAGTTGCTGACGAGGAACAAGCAGAAACTAAGGACCTGGTAATTAAGAGGCCAGCAGCAATCTCCTGGTCAAAACTGACATGCAACGTGTGGCCAACAACCAAATGCAGGAGAGGACTGTGAGGAGGTAGGAATGGGATGATGGTCTCTCAAGGGCCAAGTAGCATGAAGGCACACACAGTGTGTCTAAGATACTGAAAACTAAGTTTGTAGGCAGAGAGGAAGAAAGGAAAAAGAGAGATTGAAAGTATATTTTTAAGTACTTATTGCCTTTTGCTTTCCCTTTGAAATTGTTTGCAACCTTTGTGGCTGCCAAGGCTCACCCAGACTCTGTAGTGTGACTTTACTTCAAGTATTTGCCAATATAAATCCAGACGTTATCTCTACAAATCTAGTGGGAAGTTTTGCCTGCTAGACATTTAGTTACAGATTATAGTGAATTTTCAGCTTTCATGTATCTTGATCTTCTTGATCTAATTTTGCTATCCTAATTTTAAAAGACAGGCTTGTTCGGTAGACAGGTACAAAATGCATAATACCCTCTTTACTAACATGACCTTGCTTTTAAATTATGGGGAAATGGTACCTGGTAGAAAAATTAGGATTATTTTAACTTTTTTAGCTACATAAATGTTGCCACCATGTTTGTACTAATGTTAACTGTTCTAGAAAACAGGTATTTGAACATCCAGCATAATACAGTATATTGGTTTGTGTATTTCTGTGACCAGATAATGCTGTTAAATTCTTTGAGAGTGAGTGTGAGGGGGTGCTGTTTGTTTATGTGTGTTTTCCACAGAAAATGTTACAGCACATCGTCTGTCACTGTCTTCACGCTCTGGGGGTGGGCAGAGGTAGGGAGGGTGTGACGCTGATATTTGTGTGAATTCGGGCTTGTGATGCTGAGCTTGGTTCATCCGTTTCCTCCTCCCTTCTCCTTCCCACCAGCGCCACAGCAACATCCTCAGAGTCTGAGCATACTGCGCCCAGCGCGGGCACAGAGCCTCCCACTGCCAGCAACCTGGGGCCCAGGAGAAGAGCGAGCGCGGTGACAGCGCCTCACTGCCACCAGTCCCTGGACCACCATGGCCAAGATCCAAAAGGACAGAAATAGTTGGGGTGAGTAGAATGTGGTGACTTCTGCTGCCTGCACGGGGGCCCTCTACTTTCCGCTTCTGGGGAGGAGGAGGGCCAAGGACTACGGGGCACCAGCATCCAGGGCTGGGAGTCGGCCGAGCTGCTCCCTGTCGGGCCAGAGGAACCATGGCAGAGCGGTATCCAGGTAACTGCGTGCCGTAGGTGAGGGCTGCGGTCTCATGCAGCCAGAGCCGCCTGTTTCTCCCGTCTCCGTAGTCTACCTCTTCCCAGCATTTGGACAGCACCGACCCCTCACCTCCCTGAGACTGCCTGGTTCCGCTTTAGAGATAGGTTGGCAGGAAGGAGATGAGGGTGGGAAGGGGCCTGTTGTTACTCCGTGGAGAGGAGTAAGGGATAGGGGATCCTCAACCCCCCTCTTCCAGGGAGCGGCGAGCTCTCCTCGGTGCGGGCTCCCAGCGGGCTGTGGGAACAATGAAGCAGGGAGCTTGCCGGCCCAGTGAGAGCGTTGCAGACCTGAGCAACAGAGAAGGGACGCCCGCTTGGGAGTGCCCCCCGCTGCAGTGCTCATTTTTAATTTGGGGGTTGGGTGGGGAATTTGGGGAGAGGAAAGGAAAGTTGTGGTTTCCAGCCTTCTGCCCCACCCCAACCTGGTACCCCATTCAGAGTGGCATTGTTCTTTGATTTTACCGTTCGGAGATATTGGGCTCATGATTGGGCTCATGATTCAGCACCAGGCCGAGGGGAGGGGGAAGGAGAGGCTAGGCCCAGTGGGTTCACGCTGTGAGTGGGTGGGCGGTGCTCACGCAAGCGGAGAAGAGCAAGCGCAGTGATGCAGGAGAAATCTCGGCCCCGCCCGCCTGCTCTGCTGCTCGACTTGATTTAAGATGCTTAGTGTGAGCAGGTTGGGCATCTTTTTCTGCCTTGGGCATCCAATTTCTTCCAGTCTCGGTACTAAACACGCTATCACATTAGGAACTAAAGCCTTATAGGGCATTTTATTCTATGAACCAGAGCAGATCTTAGGCTACTGTGGCTTGATGGGTAGAGACATATGTTGTTCATGAGTTTTGAATTATTATTTGGAAACTTTATACCCACTAGATATTCAGAGCTTCTTGATTATCTTCCATATCTCAGTAAGATCTATAACTGTCAATCAGACCAAGAGGTATAAATTTTAATTTTAATTGGTTATTTCAGTGTACTTTTATAAAAAAGCCATATTTCTCCTTGCTCAGATTGGTCACAGGACCAGCTTAAATCCCAGTAGAAAAGGTTTACATATGAGAGATTATTCAAGGTTTGTGGTAGATATGGGGAGTTGGTAGCAGGGAGGTCTATTTGTAGTTGTCTGAGTTTAAAAGAAAGTGGTTCCGTTTTACTGAGGTCACCAAACCCTAATTTAGTAGGTGTGACCATTGCCATAACACTGTTTTCTTTGCTTCTTCTGATATACAGGTAAGCTTTTTCAGTGTCTCCTTTCCACCCTCCCTCCCCTTGGCTTCTAGAGTAAGATGTGCTTGAACACTCACAGTTAAGGGATGCATGTTCAAGTCAGTTTTGGTCTTGATCTTTGTGCATTGTTGACTCCACCCTGTTTGGAGACAGGCATGTGAAAATTTATGGTGAGGATTAAAATTTTTCTCTTTCACAAAGCTTTGGATCATTATTCTTCAGTATTTCCTTTGGTTACAGATTTCTTATTTAGTGGAGGTTTTTTTTCTCTCTTGGGAATGTGTTTCTAAAATGGGATTTTCATTAAAATCACATTGGGAACTTATTAGACATGCAGATTCCCATATTTTCCAGCCAAAGCTTTTGAAATGGGGTCCAAGAATCTGCCTTTTAATTAGCATCTTAGGTGATTGAGAAGTAGGTGATCTTTGGATGTTACTTTCAGAAACACTATAATTGTTTATTTATATTTGATAGAATCATATCCCAAACAGTTCACCCAGAAGACACCACGAGAGTTTCAACTCAAGTGATGAATTAGGAAAATAATACTAGAGTCACTGTGTGTTCATTGGAAATGTTCACATAAAAGAATTAGTGGAGTTGTGGAGTCTTATCTTAAAGCTCCATAGAAATGCTTTACTGCTCAGATTTTTCTTTGCTGTAAAGTATATATGACATAAATGATTTAGAAAATGTGACATATGGAGTAGGAGATAGAGGTTTTTGGCAGAGTATTAGTCATATCTGTCTTGACTCCATTTTATTACCAGCACCTAGTAGAATGCCTAACACATAGTAGACATTTAATAATACCAATAATAGCTAATATCATTGAGCTAATATCAATGAGGTAGGTACTATAATCCTTATGTTACATTTGAAAAGGTAAATGATGGAGCCAAGATTCCAACTCTGGCAGTTAGACTTCAATATCTTTGCCACTATGCTATACTGCCTCTTTGTTGAGATAATACCTTCTGCATTATACAGAACTACAGTTTTCAAGGCACAAATGCATTATTGCATTTGATCTTTAGTCTCTTAAGTTTGCAGGACATGTTCCCTGTTTTGCAAATGAAAAAATTGAGTCTCCCATTGGGTAAATAACTTGGTGAAAGTCACATGTTTGGCAAATTGGAGGACTAAGATTAGAACCTAGGGTTGTCTTCTAATTTATTTTCTGTAACATGATGCTGTGGAATGTTTTATAAGATATTGGGCATGGTGTCAGGGGAATAGAGAGACTAGGTCTTTGTAGAAGCCAGAGGTCACTGGTGAGAAAAAACTCAGGTGGTAGCTATAAAAGACTGACCTTATCATCTATCTAGATAAATATTTCCCAGACAAGTTAGGAAGTCAAGACCAGAGGGCAAAGGTAGACTATCCAGAATTGGACAATATAGTGATTTCTAAGAAAAAGGCAAGAGATATATTTGTAAAATCGGTACAGGAGACCTAAAATTTAGATAAGGATCCTATAGGACCATGTAACAGGTTTATTATTATCTGAGCGGTCAGAGACCTGTTAGGTCTACATGGGCCATGGGAGCTAGAAAGCAGAAAAGCATCTCTGCTGACATCCAGAATTGGGGGTGATATTTGAGGATCATATCCACAGGTACAACTGGTAAGCAGGTTTGTGAGTAGGAATGAGAATCCCACCACCTGTACCTAAATCTACACTGAACTAAAATTTGAATAAATTTAAGCTTTTAAAAATTAACTCTTCAAAGATAGGGATTATCCTTTTTTTAATATATAAGGAATCTGAGACTCATCATGAGTTGCTTGCCAGAGGTTCCATAATTTATAAATTATAGACCTAAGATAGAAATTGAGAGTTGTTTGCTTCTCCAATCCATGTGATGGGGACAAGGAACTAAAATAGTATGCCAAAATGGGCCACACTAAGCCTATCCAGGTGTAAGCTGGTATAAGAGATCAAGGCTCTATAAATTTGATCGCCTTGGACTAGAAAAGAAGGCAAAGAATGTGCTAGTGTGAAAAGTAATGGGAACAGATGAGTATCAGGAGGCAATAGCCCAGAAAGCAGTCTTTCAGTGTTGGGTTTAGAGCTTAAGTACTACCAGAAACAAAACAGAAGTGCACTCTTTTTTGCTTATTTGCTTTTGTAATTACAGTTGGTTAAAAACTTGGGATACCACATAGGAATTTGAGTTTTCCACAATGTAACAGAAACTGTCTTTGCAATATTGCTTTAGAAAAATAATATTTGCACTAAAATGTCAGCTTTTCCTGGCCCAAGAAGAAAAAACTATCTTAGCTGCACAGTATGTGTAGCAAATGTCTATTTGTTACAATTAATTTTTAGGTTTCTGTTTTTTGAGGAAAGGTTAAAAACATTTTTTCCAGTTTTATTGAGAAATAATTGACATCACTATATAGGTTTAAGGTGTGTGGTATGATGGTTTTATTTACATATATCATGAAATGATTACCATATCCATCATCTCATATAGATACAATAACAAGAAAAGAAAAATATGTTCTCCTTGTGATGAGAACTCTTAGTATCTACTCTCTTAACTTTGTTATACATATATCATACAACAATGTTAAATATAGTCACCATGTTATACATCACATCCTTAGTACTTACTTATCTTGTAAATGGAAGTTTGTACCTTTTGACTAACTTCCTCCAATACCCGCTCCCCGAAACCCCTCACCTTTGGTAATTACAAATCTGGTCTCTTTTTCTATGAATTTGGTAGTTTTATTGGTTGGTTGGTTGGTTAGATTCCACATATAAGTGAGATGATACAGTATTTATCTTTGTCTGACTTATTTCACCTAGCATAATGCCTTCAAGATCCATCCTTGTTTTCTATAACTGAATAATATTCACATGTATATGGCAACATTTTTATCCATTATCCATCAATGGATACTTAGAATATTATTTCCATGTCTTCACTGTTGTAAATAATGGTGCTATGAACATGGGAGAACAGATATCTCTTGAGTTAGTGTTTTCATTTCCTTAGGATATAGTCCTAGAATAAAATTGCTGGATCATATTTTTAACTAGATCTATTTTCAGTTTTTTTTTAGAAATCTCTATACAGTTTTCCATAGTGGCTATACCAGGGGTGAGCAAACTTTTTGACTCGAGGGCCACAATGGGTTCTTAAACTGGACCGGAGGGCCGGAACAAAAGCATGGATGGAGTGTTTGTGTGAACTAATATAAATTCAAAGTAAACATCATTACATAAAAGGGTACGGTCTTTTTTTTCAATCGTTTTATTCATTTCAGATGGGCCGGATCAGGCCCACGGGCCGTAGTTTGCCCACGGCTGGGCTATACCAATGTATAATTCCACTTACAGTGCACATGGTTCCCTTTTCTCTATCTCCTCACCAGCACATGTCATCTCTCATCTTTTAAAAAAATATATATTTTATTGATTTTTTTATAGAGAAGAAGAGAGAGAGAGAGAGAGTTAGAAACATTGATGGGAGAGAAACATTGATCAGCTGCCTCCTGCACACCTCCTACTGGGGATGTGCCTGCAACCAAGGTACATGCCCTTGACTGGA